TGTGCTCAGCTCTGATCTGTTGAACTTTATCCCCAGCCCTTTTCCTTTACACAGAAACTATATTCTCCACACCTGAGCCTTCTGTGTGGCTGCTGTCGCCTTCCTGCTTTTTTGGAGCTCCTCAGTACTGCATCTTGGATCATGCTGCAGCCCATTAAGCTGCTTGTCTTGCTTTTAATGAGCTTATAGCATGCAAGGCCCTTCCACCTACAGATCTGTGACTCACGAGGGCTGTGCTGCTGTGGGGTGTGTGTGCTGCCTTGCAAAGCCCTTTGCTGGATTGAAGACACAGCATTATGAAGGCATGCCTACAGGTTGGGAGCACGTAGGTTCTTTCCATTTCTTAGAAATAGCAGTAGCAGTAAATATTTCACCTCTTGCTCAGAGCTGGCTGCAGCACCTGGGGATGTGGCTGTGCTGGGTCTGTTGTTCAGCCAGCTGGGCTGTGTTTCCAATTCATTTTGCTTCAGGTGAGTGGAGTTAATGGAATTTCACTCCTTTTTGATCATCAGCATTGCTGTCACCTGGACAGGTTCCTGACTGCTCTGCCCTCACCGTGTGCGTTATCACTTGGAAAGGCCTTTCCATCATTTGGGAAGAAGTCATGCGGGATCTGCCCCACCACAGGCACTGCCAGGTGAGCCTGTGAGATGAAGCTCAACCACAGGGAACCAGAACTCATCCCCCTCCACCTCAGCCTTGCCGCAAACCTGGCTGACTTTGAGCTGTAGCTGTCTCTGATCATCTCTCAAAATTCTCCTTCTAACTCTACCATCTTTCTAATATCCTACTTGTGTATTCATGCAAATGCTGTTTTCTTCCTTGCTGTTCACAGAATAAGAACTTGTAAATGAATGATCAACCTGTGGTGTTGGGCACCCTCCATGCAGCTCTGACCAGACTCCCCCTACTTCCAGTGCTCCTGTTTCCTCCTTGCTCTGCCTGTGCATGGCTCCAGGCCAGTTGATGGCATTGGTGCTGCTTGGTCTGGTGCTGGCAAGCACCCACAGAGGTGTGCTGATCCTCAAAAGTCTCAGTTCCAAGTAATGTGCCAAAAGCATCTGAAATAGCTGGATCAAAGGTGTTGGCAGTTGAACATGTGGGAAAATAGACAAGGTGCAGTGCTACAGCTATGCCCACATCTAAGCCCAGCGGTTATCTGACAGGTAATGTTGTGATCAGTGAGAGCTCAGACTTAAAAACACATCAACGCATCAGAAGCTGAGTGTGCCTTCTGAACTGCAGGAGCTGTTATGTGCAGCGTTGACTGCCGGTGCCAACGCGACAGGCCTGGTGGCTTCTTCTGAGTTAGATGGGCAAATACACATGCAACAAACGTGACTTTGGCAAGGCACTCTCACAGAGCGTATCTCCTGGCCCTGGGATAACGTATCTTTGCCTCACTTATTGAGTGGGACCAGAGCTCACCAGCAGGGTGCAGCCACCGAGCCGTGTGTTTCTGATATAAAGGGGCTTGAGATGTGGTTCACTGCAGCTCTGTGCTCCATCAGACAGGCCTCACACTGGTAGGATGTGTTCTGCAGGGTTCCTGATGGGTGTTTTGGCTGGTTTCTGCACAGACAAGCTCTGCTGCACCTCATAGCTGTTCACTGAGAGGAACACCTCTGGCAGGAGCATGGAGAGGTTTTCCAGCCACGTTTGGCTTCTGCCTAGGTAGAGTTTGATTGATTTTAATGTTAAATATCAAGGTTAAGGTCCAGATACAACTGTTTACTGCTCTCCATAATCAGCCTTGCTCTGCATCTGCACAACTGACCCTTAATCAGTCCCTAACAGAACAAAGTACCCCTGTGTGAGAACCCTTGGAAATTTCCATCCAGCATTACTGTAGCAATCCCCAGTGCCCCTGTTACGCCACAGGATCGCATGTGGGCAGAGGTCAGCCTGCCTGTGTCTCTGCTATGAGCTGCAAATAATTCTGCAAGTTCTCATTCAATAGCAGTTGTGTAATCATTAGATTATCAGTCCCCAGGATAAATACTGTCAAGATAAGGCAGTGCCAGATGGGTTCCTTTATTGCTTTGTAAGAGCTGGATATGGATGCTGGCTGTGCTCGGTCCTATTGCAGCGGTGCTATCATGCAGCACCTCCACCTCTTGTTGCACTTCATAGAGGCATCCAGCCTGAAGTCTGTCCCATCAAACATGTCAGTGCAGTATGAAGAGGCTCTGCCCACAGCTGGTGCTGCGTTTGGGTGCTGCTAGATGATGGCAGTATGTTCTTGGTTAGTGTTTGCTTCAGTGCCGCTTTGTGTTTGGGTGGGTTGAGGTTTGGTTCTGTGGTTCATATGGAAAAGCAAGTTGTGGACCTGCATGATTAAGCAGGAAAAAAATGCTTTGGGGGCAATTCTAGACTTAAAGATGCATTCAGACCTCTTTGCATAGATAGAGAACTCTTCTAACATCCATCTACAACTCTTAAAAAGGGTTTTTCTGAGGCACTGCTTGTTTTGTGCTATCATTTCCTGTACTGACTGACACAGTTGCTGTTGTCACTTATTTAAGAAATCCACATGATCGGTGCAAGCACAAACAAGGACAAAAATAAATGTCTGATAATATGAACAGATTTATCTGTCCTTATCCCCACGCCTTTTCCCGTGAGTGTAGATTGTATTCAGCTCCCCAAAATAGACCCTTCTTTCCAAGCATTTAACCTTACCCACAGAAGTGCAGGGTGTGAGGAGCAGGGCTGTGTCTTTGTGTGACAGTGGAAGGTGAGCACACAAGGGCTGCTGAGGTGGAGTTCAGATAGGACTGAATCTGTCTGTAGGAATTCCCTTTGGCATTTCCCCTCGCAGTTATGTGAAACATATTGTGCTGGAGAGCTGGAAGTCCAGGAGAGAGGATTCAGAGCAAACAAAAGAAATCCAGCACCTCTGGCCAGTTTGTAGTGACGAATATAGATCCTTTATATCGCTGCAGTGAGGTGTGGATGGCACAGGAGTGCCTGGCAGAGCGGGGTGATGCTCCATTCCCTGGCTGCTCTCCTTACCCAGGCTGCGTTGTTGTCTGAGCATGGAGCGTTTCCTGCGTTGGGCTCAGCCAAACATCCCTACTGCCTAACAATAATGGTAAATATTTAAAAGCCAAGGACACTGAGTTAATCTTCACTTTGGAGCTGTGACCTTCCAGTGCTCCCAATCCATTTCTAGGAAAAATCTGAAGAAGACTCTGTGACCTCTGCCCTGATGGCATAGCGCTGCTGCCTGAGCTGCAAAGACAGTGGCCGAGAAGTGTCCATCATCCTCCCGGTCCTGCACTGCTCTGTCTTTATTCAGCACTTTGAGAAGCACCAAATGAGATTTGAATGTGGTGCAGTTACCTCTCATAAGCGTCTCCAAGAATCAAGCCTCTGTGCTCCTTTTATCCAAGTTCACATCGCTCCCAGTGAAGCCCTGAGCCGTGCAGAGCAGTTGGCTCCATGCTGGGACCCTGCTGGAACTTGGCAGGCTGGGGCACTGCGTGAGGTCTGTGCCATGAGTTTGTGCAGGGGGATCTGAGGGATGCCCAAGGGTCTGCCAACCCCCTGGCTCACTTTTGCTATTCTAGTGATTTTTATAAGCTCTGGCCAAGAGGTTTTGTCTGCAGGGAACCAAACCTCAGCAAGAGAAGGGAACTTGTGGAGGTGCCTGAAGCTGGATTCCATTCACCTGCTGCCTGGCCCTGTTCTGCATGGCCACAGCAGCTCCTCTGAGGCAGACCAGTGGAAATTTCCTTCCTATCCTCAGTGCCTTGTGAAAACACCATAAAACATCGTTGGCGTTCTTTACACTTGCTTACAAGAGAAAAAATACTTGTAAGCCCCAATCCTTAATGACCCATCACAAACATGAAACGATTGCTCAAGGGGCTGAAATGCCCCCAGCACACATCCCCTGGTGGCTCAGCACCCATCCCCAGCGGGATGATAAACACATCCTTAGTGCTTGGTGCAGCCCTGGGGCCTCATGCCACCAGAGCTGTCTCTCTGCCTGTGTGGATGGCAGCAGCACGGCATTCCCTGCCAGGCTGCAGCTGGTGGCATCCTCATACCCTCTCCTGGGTTTGGACTATGCTGTGTGCCCAGCGATCCTCTGTGTGGTAGGCAGGCTTTGGAGCACTTGTGAACACTGGCTCAACATCAGCTCTTAGAGCTGCAGGTGGATCCAGGCACACTGCTGCCAGTGAGGTCTCTGTGCTGACGCTCCCTGATGTTGTCCTTAAGATCTAAATGCCCACTAGTGTTAATGCAGCAACACAAAGTAAATGCCATTTGTTCACTGAGTATGTAGGCAATGACAGTAGAAGGTTTTTGGACCATTTGCCTCCACCCAGGTGCTCCCAACCACCCCTTATCAAGTGCACTGCACCCACCTGCTGCCCTGAGTGCTTCAGCCCCAGCACTCCCCATCCATACACGTTCCAGGGCACTAATTTGCACTGTGCCATGAAGGCACAGCACAGCACTGATACCCAAATCTCTGCCTTAATCCTAGGCTTGGGCTCTCCTTTCTTAAAGTGAGTTCAGCCCTGGCTGGGAGAGCAGGATTTGGATCGTCTGTGGGCAGAGCTGGGCCATTCTCTGCGTTTCTCAGGGCACTGTTGGAACAGTGCATGCTCGAGTGCATGCAGTGTCAGTGGATCCTCGCATGTGCTCCCTCCCAGCAATAGCAGCTGGCATCCCAGGTACATGCAGCATGCACTGTGGGAAGGGTCACTTCCTCTGCTGTAGTAGCAAAACCTAAACCAACAATGATAACAAAAAAAAAAAAAAAAAAAAAAAAAAAAAAAAAAAAAAAAAAACCCCCCGGTGAAGGGAAAAAAAAAAAAGCAAAACCTTGAACCAAGGAATGACAGTGATAAAGAGGTTTTATATTCCTGGGGGCTGGCCTATCTTCTTTATTGCCCCTTTTTCTCTGTTTTTTTATTTAGCAATGCAAATGCAATCCATCTTCTGAGCCTCCCAGTCACAGCCTCTCCATATACAGGGCAGGGGGAGCTTGGTAGCAGTTCGGACTGTGCGGTGCTCCCCAGCACCCGCTACCTTCTGTGGCCGTGCTGGCGTCGGGCAGCACCAGCGTTGAGCTCTCACAGGGTGAGTGTCCCTGGGACAGCATCAGTGCCTCTCTGTGCTGGGCTGCCGGGCTGCTTGCTGGGATGCAGGCTGTGCTCCGTGCACATAGGGCTGGGATTTGGGCTTTCTGTTCCTTGTTTAACAGGACGTTGCTTTCTTCCAGCCCCCCTCGTGCTGTGTGGGCAGCCCTCCACCAAAGAAGAGATGGAGATGGTGGACTCCGAGCGCCCGCCGGCCAAGAAGAACTGGTACGAGCGCTACGTGCTGCCCTTCTTCGCTGAGCTGCTGGGCACTGCAGCCTTCGTCTTCATCGGCTGCATGTCAGTTGTGGAGGACTCAGGAAAAACCGGGACGATGCAGCCTGCGCTGGTCCACGGGTTGTCCATCGTGCCCATCGTTGTCAGCCTGGAAAACATCAGGTAAGGGGCTGGTGACCCCCAGGATGTGCTCATGGCTCTCCTATCACACAGCCCTGGGGTCCCTTCTTCCCTAGGAGCATCCCCAGGTGCACCATGCCACTTGGTTAATGGTTGTGAGCGAGATTCTGGGTATGGGGGAGGTTCAGCATTCTGGCTTTGGTTGCAGCATTCTGATTTTGGTTCTTGTTAATGTAAGGAGAGAAAAAAAAGGTCAAAGCTGAAGCAAAAGCATCACTTGGGAAATCTGTGGCATTTCCTTCTGAAGCAATGTCAGGATGACACATTTTGACCTGCGTGTTCTATTCCCCTGTGCACTGGGAAATGCTTGGATTCCATTTACAAATGGTTTCAATTCTTCTGAAGCAACATTTAGACAAAGCTGTTCACTGAAATAGGTTGCTATTTGACTCCCAAACACAGCTTCTTTCTGGATGGAAAAGCTGAACGGGTCCCTGTGGGGCTTCACTTCCTTCTTTCCCCATCTCCCTACTCTGAATCTGTGCAGCTCAGGATGGGTCCTGGGGCTGCCCCTGCCTAGGGGTTCACAGCACCCTCCTGCCTGGGCCTGACTGAGACAACCCGACTTTGGATTTTAATTACAGCTGAAGAATAAGACATAACTGTGAGCTCCTAGACACTCTGACTCAACGACTTCACCAGCGATTATTATTAGGGCTGATCGGTTATGAAGCTTGCTAATTAATGCGTGTCCCATGATAATCTGTCTTAATTCAGAGGTATATGATCTTGTCTGGCATGTGGTCTCTGAGGTTAACAATCTGAGTCCCATTGCTAGGCGAGTGCTTGCTGCTGCATTGGAGTTGGGGCATAGCACTGCCCAGCGCAGTGCTGGAGACTGTGGAAAGAGTGGTGTCATGTCCTTTACATAGGGCACAACCCTTGCCCTGCCCTCTGCCTTCATGCGAGATGTGTTCTGCATGGAGTAGAGTGTCCTGGAAGCTTCAGAGCAAGGGAAACCTGCAGCCATACCATGCCGTGCCATGCTGTGCTGAGCTGCACTGCGCTGCGCTGCACTATGCCATGCTGAGCCATGCCATGTTGTGCTGTGCAATGCTGTGCCATGATGTGCAGCTGAGCAGAAGAGCAGCACAGAGGCCAGGGCTTGGCTCATCCTCAGCCTGCAGCACTGCAAAATATCATGCACAGAAGAGGTTTATGCACACTTCCCCCTTGCTGCTCCTGGAAGGACCTGGTGGTTTCCTGAGCTCCAAAACCACTTTTCAAAATGTGCCGTGGCAGCTGATTCTCTGCATGTGCTTTAGAAAGGTCTGCATATCCCATCTGGAATTGCTGCTTCTCCAAATAGCAACTGCAGAGAACAGAAACAGCCAGATTTTGCTCCCCTGCAGTGCACAGCACATTCTTGTAAGTGCTAAAAACATATTCATGGTTCCAGCCCATAGTGAGTGCAGCACTCACACCGCACTGAGGAGGGCAGTGGGGGCAAGGCAGCAGGCAGAGCCTGCTTTTTCATTTTTTCATTGTCGTTTAGGGTGAACCCCACGCTGACTCTTCTTTTCCTTTACAGTGGAACTCATATCAACCCTGTCGTGTCCCTGGCCATATGGCTGATCGGCAAGATGGAACACATCATGGTCATCCCGTACATTATTGCCCAGCTCTGCGGAGGGATCTTAGGGGCTGCTCTGACAAAGGTACACATGCCAGAGGGGGGCTCGCTGGGGCTCAAGGACTGTGCTCCCACTCTGCCAGAGCTGACATTGCCCTGTGCAATGTCAGCACAGCCACAGGTGTGTGCTGAAGTGGGGAAGGGGCACTACAGCACCAGTTCTCAGTGTAATTAAGAGCTCTGATGTTCATATGATCCTGCACTGCAGCGTGCTGTGTGAGCACAGGGCGTGCTGTGCCTGCTTTCTGCTCCCATAGTCCTGCTTCCAAGCTGGGCTGGGTGCTGGTGTAGGGGTGCTGCCCAAGGCAGAGCATAGCACATCTGCAGCTTCAGCTGCTTAGGTGCACAGCATTCCCCTGCCACACTATTCTGTACCATTAATTGAATCTGGTGTGGCCCATCCCTGGGCTCTGAGCCCCGCACAGCCCCTCGCTTTGTGCATGTCCAACGGAGCACAGCCAGCTCATTATCTCTGGAGACGCTATGAGCCTTTGCTAATGAGTTTATGTTTGCCAGGTGCTTAGGGCTCGCTTGCAGGAGGAAAGTGCTGAGATTAGCTCCTCTTTAGCCCAGCACTCTGCCCGCCCACGCTGCCCTGACAGTGAGCACATATGTTTGTAATGCCAACAATATGGAGAGGGGTAGCACCAACCAAGTGTCCCCTCCAGGCCGTGGCAAAGAGTGACAACTTCAACAACAGCTACGGAGGGGCCTTTGAAGTCATCCAGAGAAATGAGCAGATCGGCGCAGCGCTGGGCAATGAGATCATCATGACCACCTTCCTGTTGCTTGTGGTCTGCATGACTGCAGTCAATGCGGAAACCAAGAGCAATCTAGCACCTGTCTGCGTCGCCCTGACAGTCGTCATCAACGTCATGGTGGGGTGAGCTCAAGTTCCCACTGTGCAGCGGGTGAAGCCCTAGTAGTTCCACTCCAGTGTCTGCAGCAGCCAGGATGGGACCCATGGCTGCAGGGATGGGACTCCCACTCACAGTTCTCTGCAGCTTGTGGTGGGCAGAGCCTGGGGCTGCCAGCTCCCAGCACCAGGGCATCCCACTGCCACCCCAACTGGCAATAGAGTTGCTGCATTCTGCACCAGTAAGGGGAGAGGAACAGGATGGGATGGGGTGGGATGAGATGAGATGAGATGAGATGAGATGAGATGAGATGAGATGGGATGGGATGGGATGGGATGGGATGGGATGGGATGGGACAGTTTTGAGTAGATCAGGATGGGATGATTTGAGTTGGTAGGTTTTGGGATGGGATGGGATGGGATGGGATGGGATGGGATGGGATGGGATGGGATGGGATGGGATGGGATGGGATAGTTTGCAGTAGAATGGGATGAGATGGGATAGGATGGGATATTCCCCCTTGCAGCCCTACTCAGAGCCTTATGGGCAGGACAACTGATGGGTTCTGAGCATGTCCATGGATGCTGGCAGATCAGACACTTGGTCTACTGGCACTGGTAGATGCGAATTGCTGGGCACACCCCAGAAATGTGTCAGGGAGGCCGGAGACTTGAGTTCAGCACATGGACATCTCATGCCGCACCAGCCTCTGCAATTACCTGATACGGGCTGACAAAAGTAAGCAGCCACCCCGGCAGTATTGACAGTAGGAAGCCCTGAGCAAACAAGGACAGCTCCTCAATGTGTATTTTCACAGCTGCTGGAATCGCTTCCAGGCTCAGCTGTGGGCTGGCTCTAAGGGTGAGCAGCCTGAGTCCTTTGGCACTGCACCTAGATAACCAGCACACATAATTCTGAATGTTAATGAATTGTTTGGTTAAGGCAGTGCCCCCTCTAGCGGGATTCAGAGCTCTTATTTCAACATCGCTCAAACCTCATGTGCAAATATTTATCTGTTGCAGTTTTTTTAAGCTGTGAATGCTGTTGTCTCTCCTGCACTGTTCTGCTACCTGCGCACAGCACAGAGCATTCTCTGGTTAATAGCTGAGCACTGGGTGAGCCCCAAAATGGGCTCAGCAGCTTTCACACCATGCCGGCATCCCTGCAAATGGACACAGGACATGGGAACTGCTCCACACTCTGAGGAGCAGCTCATGTCATTTGTTCCTTTTTCAGGTCCGTATCTGGACCCTGCATGAACCCTGCTCGAGCCTTTGGGCCAGCTGTGATAACCAACTACTGGCTCTACCACTGGGTGTACTGGGTCGGGCCTGTGATCGGCTGCCTGATCTGCAGCATACTGATGAGGTACGTGGTGCTGCAGCAAGGCTGCCCTCTCTTGCTCACCATCCCATCCTGCAGCAGAGCCCCTGCCCCTCTGCTGCTTCCAAGCCTGGCATGTCCGCTGGCTTCATCTGCATCTCCCCATGGGGCTGGTGCTGAGCTACAGCACTCTGTGTTCCCTATGCATGCCACAACAGTGCAGATGCTGACCCTGAATTTCTTTTCCCTCCTGCAAGGTTTGTGATTGGTGGCCGGGAGATCCGCCTGTTCCTGAAGTAAGGCTGCACAACAGCACAACACAACCCTGGCACCTCCTGCTGAGCACACTGCTGAGACACGCTGGGATGGCACTGCCGTGCCCCGGCCATGCACCACGTCTGTCCTGCAGGGCTGTGCCTGGCATCTGTGAGACTGCACGGCTCCATGCTACAGGTGCAGCATGTGGCTGTGGCTGGCAGCTCTGTACCACTGCTGCTAGGCTGCTCCTGGGCCCCTCTGCTCCCCTGGGGGCTGTGAGAGCTACTGGTTGCGGAGCAGAGCAGCTGCTGTTACCTCCATACGATTGGCACAAAGCTGAGTAAAGCAACACGTGCCCCCCATTGCTGGCACCAATTGATTCCTATACTGTTTATGACTATTATTTAAGGAGTGTGCACATGCTGGGAGCTTCCCAGCTCCAAACATGCTGGGGGCACCAACACCTTCTGCCCACTCATGCAGTATGTTGTCCTGCATTTCTGCTGTCCCCCCATAGACTGTGCAGCATTCAGTTTTCCCCTGCATGCACCTGGGACTCTTTGCTGTGCAGGGAACCTGACTGAGCTGCATGTGGCTGTGCTGCACTCCATGTGGCTGTGTTGCGTGTGGCTGTGCTGCGTGTGGCTGTGCTGCACTGTGTGTGGCTGTGCTGTGTGTAGCTGTGCTGTGTGTGGCTGTGGTGCACATGGACGGACACTGGCTAAAGATTCTGCAATGTCCACATTATTTTGCAGTCTGTGCCAACAGAACTGCCCCTGCAGCTGCATGCTAGGAGCCCAGATGCAGTTTTTGGAGGCTTCTCGGCATGCTGAACAAAAAGGGAAATGGGAATGGGAGGGAAGCCCACACTGGCTGCTGGCAGAAATACATGATTTCTGAGATAACAGCTGGCATGGGGAGAGCAGCCAGTGCCAACATCTGCACACTGGGGATCTATCCCCATCCCTAAATCACCCTGGCCTCTCGGGATGGAGGTGTTGGCAGTGACCCCTCCCACATCTTGGCAGGCTCTGCACAGCAATGACACCAGCACACAGCTGTTCTGCAGTCCCTCCCAGGAGAGCTTTTGGCTGTTCTGAATTTTGCAAACTTTTAAACACGGCTGGAGGTTTCTGAGCACATCTGAGGAAGGCAGCGTTGTCTGGGGGGGGGTAGCAGAAGTGGCTGAGGTTCCAATCAGTGTCTGATGCTGTTCTCCTACAAGCACTACTATGAGGTGCCCAGGAGAAGGGGTCATCCTGGGGATGCAGTGCCACACTTGGAATGGGGACAGACAGGAGCATTTCTGTGGGGATCATGGGGGAAACCGCATGGGATGGGCTGGGACACAGCACCAGAGGAGGAAAACCAATGGGGTTGGGCAGAAATGGCCCCGCAGCACCTGGCACAGGGAAGGAGCTCCTTCCAGGTCCCCGCCGTCCCCATGGGTCTGGCAGAATCCTTTCCAGTGCATCTCACTATTTTCAGCTCACTCGCTATTTTCAGTCAAGGAAATGACCCACACATGCGCACACGCTTGTACACAGAGCCGTGCTTTTTATTGCGAAAAGAGTGAGGCTGGAGGGAGGAAAGGTCCCACCGGAACGGCCCCGGCCCAGGTGAGCTGGGCGAGGGGGCTGCGTGCTCGGGAAGGAAAGTGCTGCAACCCGCTACGAGACAAACAGCGCGCAGATGTCACCGGGACCGTCGTCATGGCAACGCTGCAAAAAATGCCGGAACAAACAGCGAAGGCAACCGCGAGGACTCCCCGGGCTGTGGGGCTGCGGCTGGGGGGCACCGTGGGCACCGGGAGCCGCCTGCGCTGCTCGGGGCAGAGCTCAGCCGAAGCGCGCCTGCGGCCGCAGGGGTGAACAAGCGACCACCTTCCTCTTTCGGGAGGAAACACGGCCCGTGGCATCCGCAGGAAGCACAGTTATAGCTGCAGCTGCTGCTGCGCGGGAGCTGTGCTGCACCCCTGCTCCATAGTGCACCTGTGGACATCCTCATGTCCTTCCCCTTTTTGCTGTTGATGTGTTCGGCGCACTCATTTTTGATTTGTCAGGGTGACTTTTAATAAAGCATCCGTAATACATGTTGTTTTTCCCCGACTATTATTAAAGAGCTTAATTTATGCTAATTAAATACCAATTAACTTCCAAGCACTTAATGTGCTTTAAGGACATAAAATACATCTCATTCCCATTCAGTTAATTCCACATCAGGCCTGGCCATGGGTCTGCACTGCGTTTAACGGTGCGTGGATCTGCAGCACAGCCAGAGCCCTGCATGCTGGCTGCGAAGCTCCTGGTGCCCATCAGGAGAGTGTCCCCAGGCTGTCCCCACACCGCTCCCCAGCACTGCAGCTCTCCCGTTAAGCACAAGTTTTCACTTTTTTGCACTGGCCTTTTCCTCTCTGCAATCCTAGCACTAGGAGCTGCTCTGTCCTGGGGCAGGTGTAAGCACTCTGCATCTTCGGACCAAATAGTTTCCCAGCAGTGGTGTGGAGCTGCTGGCAGCCATGCTTTCTGCCTGGGCTGATGACACTTTTTTGGTGGCTGGTGTCTGCACAGGGCACAGCTGCTGGGATTTGGCACCACACTGCAGGGCTGAGCTGCTCCACACAGATGTGTGAATTAATGAGCCAGCTAATGTGGCTCAGTGCCTCCTTGCCTCTCAGACCTCTCGGCACCACAACAGCCGCAAGGATGGGGATGATGAAATAGGGGAGCTGGGCAGCAGAGCAGGGGATCCCAGTGCTAATGCAACACATGGAAGAGCAAAGCAATACGTGGCAGTGCAAAGCAACACATAGCAGCGAGGCTGAGCAGCAGGGATAGAGGCTAGCAGTGGGATCGGGGCAGCTGTCCTTTGTCCTTGAGTCAGGACCAACCAGGTTGGTTTGGTTGTTATGTCCACCTGGGACAGGGCTTCCCACCTTGCAGCAAACACAGCTGCATCTGCTAAGGAGGGCGGAGGGCTTTAATGAGCAGCCCCACAGCAGAGGAGTTCTGTGCTTACCTTTTGTCCTGTGGCTGAGTGCTATAGCACAGGAGTGAGCACCCTCCTGCCCTGCTCAGGATGTGCAGATTTCTGTAGAAGAATGTTCTGTGCTGCTGAATGAGGCTGCAGGAGCAGCAGGACTGTGCTCACCTCTGTGTCCTGCACTGCTGCAGTAGGTAGAGTGCTGCTAGGAGCTGTGGCTGCTGGCACTCAGCTCCTGGGAGCTGGGGAGCACCAATGGCTGCTGACTGCCGGGCCAGGCCGTGCTGGGGGTGAGGATGGCGGTGGTTGTGTGGGCACCAGCACGGGGACACAGGGGATGGTGGAGGTGGGTGACGACATGTGGGGCTGGCACTGCACATGAGCTGGTATCTGTATGTAGGAGATGGGGAGAGAGGCAATGGGAAAGGGAGTGGGAGTCTGCAGTGTGCATTGGAAGAGCTCTCACCACAGGTCTGAGCAGGGCAGGGCTGGGCTGGTGCCCTTTGTTGCTGTGCCCATTTGGTGCCTGAGGCCAGGGAATGTGTTCCTGTGCTGTTCTATTTGGTCTGAAGCTGGGGACCAAGGCACAAATGCCAGAGCAGGCTCCCCGCTGATTAGCATGTATGCAAAGAGCCCTAACGAGCTTCAGCATTGTGCACAGAGCACTGCGGGGGCCCACAGCTGGGTGTGGGGTGCTGGGAGGGGGCTGAGGTGGTATCTGCTTGGAGCAGCAGTGGCATCCCCAGCTGAGCTCTAGGATCTCTGCCCTGGGACCCTGTGTGAGGGCGTGAGAGGTCCTAGATGGAAGGAAGCGGGGCTGGGGGGTGGCTACCGCTCTGCTTCCCACCCCCACTTCTGCTTTTTCTTCTCATTCTATTGATCTTTAATTTCTTTTCACTTTCTGTCATCGCAGCCCACTCGGGCTCCCTGGGGAGCAGCTGGTAGCAGCCTCCTGGGGGAACGGGGGCTGGGGTCTCCTCCGCATGAGTGCAGCACTGTGGGCCCAACTCCCCCTGAGCCCCTCTTCCTGCCTGCATGGTGCCTCCAGCCCCACTCCCTGACCCCGAGGTGTTTCTCTACTCAGCATTGCTCGAGCCGGGAGGATTTTTATTTTGCAGGGTTTTTAAAAAGGGTTCAGATAGATTTTTTTTATTTTCAAGTAATACTACTTTTTTTTTTTTTTTCTTTCAGCTCTTTTTATTGTGATTGTTTATTATTTCCTCTCTGCAAACAGAAACCACATCGGGCAAAGCCTTAGCTACTAATTTGCACTTATGCAGATGTGATGAGGTTCAGGCACATAACTCCTCAGCCTGCACAAGCACAACCCCAGTACTAGAGGTCCCAATGCCCTGGTACCCCCCGCCCATCCCTGGTCCCCAGAGCTCCCTGGGGCACAGCTACTGCCCCCCAGCACACAGAGCCAGCCCTTGCTTCTGGTCACCATGGAGACCCAGGAGGAGGATTTTGAACCATCTCAGAGAAAACTTGGCAATTCTCTAGGCTTTGTGTAGCCATAGGCTTGGGCTGCAGAGCTGCCTGTGTGACCATGCACTCCATCCCAGGCCATGGCAGTGGTGGCCATAGGGTGGGTGGCATGGGATGACAGAAATCACTGCATCCCTTTCTTCTAAACCACATTCCTAATTTGTCCCCATAGCGGACAATCCCACTGTCGACCTTCAACCTGAGGAATGGGTTTGCAGAAACAAGGGTTGCTGTTTGCTGCTGCCAGGTTGGATTTTGGAGGGCATGAAACTTCTGGCTGTGTCTCAGCAGCAAGCAGCCAGATGGAGAGAAGGATGGATGGGTGGACGGACAGATGGATGGACACGGTGGTGCTTGCCTGCAGGTCTCTGTGTGGGGCTCCCCTCAAGCTGAGGACGGGTGGGAGCAGAGGCTCGGTTGGAGGGGAATGCTAATCGGAGTGTGTGCTGGCAGCAGGCAGAATGCTGCACAATAAATAGCCATTTTAATTACCGCACAATATTTACAAGATTGCTTCCTCATTTAGGAAATTAAAACAAATGCTCCATCAAAATGATCAACATTGTACAGAGAAGCAGAGGGCTGATAGAGAAATACATCGGCTGTTAATGAAAGAGTAATTGGCACCT